TATAATGTGTCGGAATTATTTTTTTCCAGATTTTTACGCGCACCACCGAGCAGGATCCCCCTCGCTTGCTGCGACACCGGTGCAAGGTGTTGTAGATATTCGATCGCTACGGAAAATGTTAGCATGGGGCTAATCTGTAGACAAGTAATGGTTGGGCCCCAGTTTTGCCGATAGCAACGAGGCGTGCAGCTGCTGTTGTGTGTAAGTGCAGGAATTTAGGTGACCCCGCTCAGAGTAAACCGGAAAGGTTTTTCTTTCCCAAGAAGCCCTCTCGGAGTACGCCAGTTGTTGTTTCCTACCCATCTTTGAATCCGCCGAAAAGCATAACTCGTAATCGAATACGACGTCGACAAGTATGGCGAGGATCCGGAGACTGGGGCTCTTTTTGATACCGGTTGCATTATGAGCATCCACCCTAGCCTTATTTCCTTCCGAGATGCCAGGGACGATGAATCATCGCCCCAGGAAAACCGGCGATTACGACTCGCACATCCTCCGGTAAAGGAATATTTGATCTCAAACCGGGCAGCTCAGGGCCCCAGTGCCTAATATCGTATTTCCGATGATGAAGCCAATTTACTGATGGGGCATGCGTGCCTCAGTCGAATACTGCGACATGGTGCCCAAGGCACTTTGAACCGGGAGGAAGTCCAAGAAACGTCATTTCTCTACCACAGTGCTCGCTATTGGTTTGTATATACCAAATCTGTTGAGGATACGGCCCCCACACTAATCTCCGACGCGGCGGTGCAGGTTCTCGAGCTTGGCCGGGACTGGTTAGATGTATATGACCCCGATCCTCGTAACCGATATGTACCCCCGGATTCCGGTGTTTACCCGCCAGCTATCTACTATTCTTCCTTGTTAAATTTGGTGACAGTCTGTGAATTGCTACTCGGTAGAAAGGAGGATACGGTAAACGTGAATTCTCCGGGTGGCTCTTATGGCAATGCACTACAAGCCGCTGCACATATGGGAAACGAATCGGTTGTACGGCTTCTCCTCGTGCATAGGGCAGAGGTGAATTCTCCGGGTGGCCATCAGGCAACGCACTACAAGCGGCTGCAAGCGACGGGAATGAATCGGTTGCGCGGATTCTCCTCCAGCATGGGGCACAGGTGAATTCTCAGGGTGGCAGGAATGGCAATGCACTACGAGTAGCTAAAGAATTTCGTTGTGAATCGATTCTCCAGCTTCTCCTCGCACATGGGGCAGCTCCAAATCTATAATTTTGCTAGCATGACGTACGCAGCAGAACCGGAGTGGCCTTGTCGACTACTTGAATACCCTATTCCGAAAGCCGCCACCAAATTCTGGAAGCTTTTTCTCTCCTATCCCACATCCCCCCCCCTCTTTCTTTTTCTTGCCACCATTTCGCATTACTACCGCGACCTACATGCCCTATATCTCCGGCACTCTATTGTCCCACGACCGTGCCCTATTTCTCGCCCCGAACAAACCGCATTTTATTTTCTGAATCCTAACTGCCCTTCTGCTGCCCCCTCCCTCCAAGACTTCCGCGACTTTTTCCCAATTTTCGGATCCCCTCACCACGAGTTCACCCGAGTACACAAACCTAGATGCACGACCCTCGCTGCGCATCCGGTCTCTCCAAATCCACTGTCTCTCCATCCCATTTATCCAGCATCCAGTACGACACCCTCGACATTGCCACTTGTTCCACTTTCACAAAGTCCCCGGTGCACACTGAATGCCATATTATCATCCTCTACACTAATTGACTTCGGCTTGACCCAATAACCATTATCATTATTCCCCGGTTTGGAGACAAAAACTTTCTATATCTCGGATTGTATGCTGCGCGGTTGGAGGATACATCCATCCTTACCCCTAAGATATCGACCGATCCAGAGACTCCCCGATCGAAGTAGGAGCTTGAGAAGTGTTGCTTTGGTTGCGGCTGGAAGGGTGAAAGAGGATTGGGAGAGGGGGAGCGTATTAAGTTGGCTTACCAATTTACTCATTAGCTAGTTTGGTCCCTTCTTGCTGCATACGGGAATATGACCCCGGAGCTTGGCTTTTCCTCTTTTCTCTTTATTTCCTTCTCCGTCTCCTTCTCTCCTTTTCGGAACTTAATAAAGGCCATGGTTTCAGGTTCATAGAGGGGGCTGTTGTGGAGGAACGGGAGTCTTCTTCGATCTGGTGGGATTGATTATTTGTAGGCTTGCTTTTAAACTCTTTTTATTTATTTTTTTGGACATGTCGCCCCATAGATATCTTGGCAATACACAAGTGGTTCTGACTCGCCTCAAGAGTGTGATACTGGACTCCATAGAATCCCCCATTGCGGTGCCAAGCTCCATCTGGGTCAGATTTGGTAAAAAGTATGAATTGGAGGACCTCGAGCCCCGCAATTCATTTACCACCATTGAAAATGAGCAAAATTGCCCCCACCCGGCTGGACCCGACCCAGCGAACCAGAACCCGGACTAACTCAGGTAAACCTTTGTGACCGCCTGTGAAACGAACTTAGGGAGTTATTTAGTGGTTAAAGCAAGTTGTATGTAGCACATCCCATTATTATGTCACCTAGATAGTACCGGGACAAGGGGGATCAACTCTTAACTCGTAACTTTGGAATAGTCAGGAGAGTTAAACTTCTTTCTCATCGGGTACAAATTGTATTTGTAGCACTCCCCCATGACCTCCTTCGTCAACTGCGAGCGTGAATTCAATAGGGTTTTGGATTAGCCATCAGGCAGGCTTCGTTCCTCCGGGTTCCTGAAATTGTACCTCGTTTATAGAACAAACCCGTATTGGACGAGTTGCCGGGACTTTTGATGCGGAGGACTTAGGGTTCTCTCATAAGCATCATAGATACTTCCTTTATCATACCTATCAAGCATAGGCCGGTGAATTCTGAAGTTACCGGACACCAACTACAATCAGCACTCCATCAGGATACCTCAGGCGTGATTTTTTTTTCACCCTTGCTTTCAAACCGCGTCCGAATCCATGGTATCATAAAGGTTTTGTGTTCATTCGAGTGCCCTTTGTGACCGTGGTCAGGATGACCCCAATGGCCAGATTCGTATGATAAGAGCTCCAAGTCCGGGAATGAGCCTTAGGCTAGTAGGATGGAGGGTCGACTTGATAGGGCACTTCACGAATCAGAGGAAAAGCTGATATAAGCAGTTGGCCGGTTGGGCTGCTCAAGAGCTGAGTTCGTGCCACTACTCCCTCATCATAGTGTCACTAACGGGGATGGAATCAGCTGTGGTTGAGGAGCGGGAGAAAGCGAGGTTTTCGGAGTAGCGGGTAAAAGGGGGTGTGTTTTTCGCGCATTAATATATATTGAGCGTGGGAGATATTAGGAGTAAACGATGGGAGGGATAAGCGGTAGTTCATATCTAGTGACCTTCATTCGCTATGAGCAATCAACGAGTGACTCCTCATGATACAGATCAGGGCTACCATGCTGTAGTTTATTCGCTGCTTCTATCCAACAGGCGGTTCCTGCGGTAGCATGGATATAGACTAGAAATCTTTGTAGTGCCTAAATCTTAGACACACTAGATGAAACCTCAGCCGAGTGGCCAAACTGGAGGAACGTAGTTTCAAGATGCGGTAGGGGACTTCCGGGGGATCGGGGCTTTGCCTTATTAACCACAATCCCTCTTTGGCTAAGCCGGGAGATTGATCTTGCTTGGATGGGGCCGGGTTTGGCCCAAGTAGCCTGAGAGGTCTCCCAATCCCGGTAATGTGCACCAGCGCGATTATTGCTGTCAGAATAGAGGGATCATCCATGCTAAAGAACACTGAAGGTACACTCTCCGGTTGGACGAAAGCTGGTGGAAATTGTGGAAATTAGGGAGCATAAGCTTCCACGCCAAAATCAATCTTGAAGTATCACTCGTTATAAATCCTTCAATTGTTCACTAGATGAATACAAAATAAACCTTTTACTCCTAGTATATGTGATTAAGAGCTTTCTACCTGGCTCATCATGTTTTCTTTCCTTATCAATCCATTAGGTGCCGAGATGGGTTACCCCTCCCATATTTGGGTCTTTACTCTTTAACACGCGGGCACTGTCTTATGATGTTTCCTCTCCCGCCGCTTCACAATCAAACACAGGACCCGAACCTAAATACCTTGTCTTTAGCTGGCCAGCGAGAGCATATTGGAAGTAGCGGATCCCGGAGGATCGCGCCGTCTACACCAATCACCAGTCTTCCGTTAGACCCCATGAGGTACCAACAGAATTCCGTACTGCATGTATCTCCCTTAATTATCGCCAAGTGTTCCCTTACACGACCCCGCTTGGAATATTACTGTCCACATAAACAATTTCTCCCATCTAAGGCATGGTTGGCAGACCGTCCGACACCAGAATTAGGGTGTACGAGTACATCCTGTGAGTGATAAGTCATGAATCTCAGCCTTCTAACTAAGCCACTCCTCCTAGCGAGGTTACCCGTTTAGCACAAATAGTGCCTCCACCGTCTAAATGACACGATAAGAGTATCTGACCACTCAAAGATATTTCCCCGGTGCTTGCAGTTCCCTATATTGGGCACCCCCTTTACCCTTCCTGGGAAAGAACCAGCACCCCCGTGAGTCCACCATAGGTAGTGCACATGTTCTCAGGCGATAGCTCATTAGACACCGTTGGCAGCGGGACAGATCCACCACTGTGATGCATACCCAGCTCCGGTAGGTAGTGACTCCCGTATTTGGAGGGGTTGGGGGGGGGGGGTGGCTGTAACGTGGTCCGAGGTATGGATAGCCCTGTTTTTTTCACTGTATCCTGTGTTCCCCTCCCCCCAGGAAAGGTTCAGGGCACCAGGGCGGTTGCCTGAGTACTCCGCACACCGAGTCCAATGAAAGTGCTCCTCCCTACCATTGAAAGCGACGGGCGAATTTTTTTTGGCATACCCTAAAACTCAATGATAAATGAGTTTTGGTATCACTTTGAGCTCGGTGGAGAGGCTAGTTTTCGCAAGCAGTGTACGTTGCGAGGTGGTATCTATGGACAATCAAACAAGTGAGGGTGGTGGAGGAGAAAGGAGCTTCGTTACCGTTTTCAGGAGCAAGCCTGCAAGATGAATACAAGACATTGAAGACCATCTGACTGTTCGCTCCAACTTCAAGCCCCTCTGGTATCCAAACCCCCATGTACAATGGCGTACACCACACCCAGGATCATCACCCACTAACACTTAACTCATCCGCTCAGGCTGATACCAAAGTCATTTCCTAAATTAAGCCAAGCACACATGACTGGTAATTATAAAACTTTAATGATATCGGTTTTTTTTATTCTAATAAACTAGCTTAAAAAAAAAGAAAAATAATTACTCGGCAAACTGTTAAACTTTTTTTTTGACCGTTTTCATTTGTTATAATATCGTATTTAAAAGAATCCACAATTGCCTATATACTCTCAACACACGCCATATCATCTCCCATTGCCCATATACTCTCAACAGGAGGTGGTGGTCGGTGACGGCGCCAAGGGCCAGACGCCGGGTGGATTGGGAAGGCGGGGTAGAACATGCTCTGGTGGTGCTCGAGCAGGATTGTATCCCTAGTTAGTCCTTTGGGACAAGCACTCATTTGATCGGCAGTCCAAAGAATAATGCACAAAGTTGGTGGACTGTGACTATTGAACAATCTCTAATAAGGACGAGAATCCCTAGAGAGCCTGAAAAATGGAAAGCACAAATGAAGATAATCATGAGGGGAGCCATAAGAAAGGACTAGGGGAGAAATGGGGAGCCATAGCAGCTGCCGGACTCTGGTACCTCATAGGCAAGTAGGTTGCCTGGGGGAAGAGGTGCCTTGGTGAGTATGGCAAGGAATCTGAAAGGCTATCCGCAATTAGGTGGTAGAATGTGGGATAACCTAACCTAACCTCCTAATGACCGACAAAGAGGCACCGTGCGCGGGTTAAGGGGGTGAGGGAAAGAAACGGATAAAAAGAGCCAAGAGTTCCACCCAGTCCACGAACAGTCTACCTCCCTATCCTTCGAGCAGGGCGAGGTGGGTGGTAAGCGTTAGCTGGTATCCGCTGTATCCTACGGTTACAATACCCCAGAGCGTGTTCAAGAAAGACCAGAAGCTGTGTAGGTACTATAGGGAGCGGCGGTGGTGGCATCCGTTAGCAATTGTAAAGCCCGCGGTGGCTCCCTGCCGGAAGGCTAAACAAG